CAGTCTTGGGTCTTGGCCTCCATCCTCTTTAGTGTTGCAAGTATGAGGCCAGGTTGCATATATGCCCCCTCCATGGCGGGCTTCCCACAGACAGCATCTCCCTTAAACAGGCATCCCCTCTTCCCCCGAAACCAGGCCAGTTGGTCAGCGTTCACCATGACCGTCAAATACTTGATGCAACATTCAAAGGAAAAACTCAAAAGACAATGAAAAACAATGACAGGAACAGCTAACCAATCAATGCAATGTCTCTTCTCTCTGCACACAATCATCTCCAGCTGTAGGCCCTTTATGCTGAGAGTTTATAGTATAATACACACACATAATTAACCCAAACAAACCACTTTGTGAAAAACAATTTTGATGACTCCAGCACAAAAGACGACTTTTTGGTCCAGGGTTTTTTTTGTTTTTTAAGGACCACACAGAAGCCTCATCAGAAGAGCCCTAAATGAACTCATTAGTTCACAGATGTTTACAGAAAAATAATCAGCAAGAAAACTGTGCCAAGAAATCCAGGTTCCTGGGAAGTGAGGTGGATGATGACAATAAAGAGTAACAAGGTTGTCTTAGCATCGGAAGAGTTGAGAGTTCAACCGCAAGCCTAAGAGATGCCGCTGAAGGGGAAAAGTGGTTCTGGAAAAGGGGGGAAAGGGGGTGCCGCTTCTTGGAGTGAAGTGCTGACAAGAAGGCTCAGGGCCCTAAAGGTGGTGGCAGTGCAGTAAAGGTCAGACACATTTTATGTGAAAAACATGGCAAAATCATGGAAGCCATGGAAAAGTTAAAGTCTGGAATGAGATTCAATGAAGTGGCCACACAGTACAGTGAAGATAAAGCCAGGCAAGGGGGTGACCTGGGTTGGATGACCAGAGGGTCCATGGTAGGACCATTTCAAGAAGCAGCATTTGCCTTGCCTGTAAGTGGGATGGATAAGCCTGTGCTTACAGACCCACTGGTTAAGACAAAATTTGGATATCATATTATTATGGTTGAAGGAAGAAAATAAAAGCACATGAAAGACTGGGGAAAAAAAAGAGTAACAAGGTTAAGAGTCGTCATTAAGTATTTTAGTGTACGGCCACTTTCCATAGACCAGTATAGACTACAAAAGCCCTTTGAGGCAGTGACTGCTGCCATTCCTGTTTTATAGAGTACAAAATGAAGCTTAGAAGGTTAAAGAGGTTTTCCAAAGTAAAGAAAGGTAACCTCCAAGACAAAGAGCTCATATCTTAGACCATGTGAAAGAAAACCCGGTGACTGTGTGTGAGTGTGTGTATGTGTGTGTGTCTGTGAATGTGTCTGTCTGTCTGTCTGTATCTGGGTGTATCTGGCTGGGTGTGTGTCTGTATGTGTAGCTGTGTGTCTGTCTGTCTGTTTCTGCTTGTGTATGTCTGTGTGTGTAGCTGTGTGTCTGTCTGTCTGTGTCTGTGTGTGAGTCTGTGTGTATGAGTGTGTATGTGTGTGCATGTGTGAGTGTATGAGAGAGAGAGAGAGAGAGAGAGAGAGAGAGAGAGAGAGAGAGAGAGAGAGAGAGAGAGAGAGAGAGAGAGAGAGAGAGAGAGAGAATGTGTTCAGGCATGCTCATGCAGTGGCAAGCGTGTGGACACCAAAACTTCCAGGAAATGTTCCTTGTCTTTTCACCTTGTTTGAGATGGGATCTCTTTACCCCTGTGTAAGCCATTCTAGCTGGTCCCCAAACATCTGGAGAGTCTCCTGTGTCTGTCCCCATCTGCCTATAGTACCTCCTGGGATTTCAGAGGCTTGAACTACTACTATGTCTAGTTTGACTAGTTTGACCTGAGTTCTAGAGATGCAGACTCAGGTTAACCAGGCTCTCATGGCAAACACGTTTACCCCACCCCCACCCCAGGAGCCATCTCCCAGCCTCAAATGCATGTCCTCTTCCTATGGCTGTGCTCTATTGCCAATGATAAACTACCTGCTCCGGGACCAAAATTCATGTTGGTCAGTCACCAAATAAAACAATCAACCAAGATGCCAGTATCTTACGCTAACACTTATCTAACCAATATCCTCTCTTTCACGCTCATCTCCCTACACCTGCCATTGGCTTAATTCTCATTCTTGTCCGAATATTTCCTTGGTTGTATGAAGTATATCTTTACAATCTATTTCCCACTTTAAAGACAGTCGCAGGTGGGATTTAATAGTCATTGACCGTCTTTTTTCCCACTGATAATCAAGCGAGCTGTGTGCTCTCTGCACCCAGGGGAGAAAGACAATAAGCCTTTGTCAAGACAAACATTTGTTGCCCCTTGTCACCTGATCCCGCTGATTCACCGCTCTTGTCATTTTGTGACTCCACAAATCTGTCCTTCTTTTGTTTTCTCAAGATAGATGTTTCTAGAGATGTGATCTCAACATTCAGAGATCCCAAACTGGGCCGCCAAGTGTTTAGAGCAAACATCCATCTCCATACATATTTTCTGCTGCTGTACATGGTCTCTTTCTTTGGTCACAAGTGGGACTGCCTTTAAAGAAACAAGTCACCAAAGCTAAGATTTTCCAAAGGTCAATGGGGTGTAGTAAACCCCCTTCCATTTGCTGTATATACCTTTGATGGCTCAGCCCTTAAGAGGACTTTATGCTCTTGCAGAGTTTTTAGGTTTGTTACCCACAGATCATCTGTAACTCCAGTTCCAGGTGATTCAATACCCTCTTCTGATCTTGCTGGGCACCAGTCATGTATGTGATACACACAAGTATACAAGTATGTCTAAGCCAAACATTCATGCCCTTAAAAAATGAATCTAAATTTATTTAAATATATATATATGTATATATTTTAACTAAATATATTTAAGTATATATAACCACATTCTCCAAATATGTGACAGAGAATATTGAATAAATGTTGGCCCTATTATTTTTATTATTCCTCTGTAATTAATGGTCTGCCATCATCAACTGTGTTCACCATATCTGGATCTTTTACATTCACTCCCTGTCCATGGTTCTGTTCCCTTATTATTCGTTCCACACACTGCACCTTGTTGGAGTGTGGGTTGGTTAGAGCAAAGACCTGGAAGCTGAAGAAGCGGTGGCATTGCCTGTTAGAGGATGACCCCTGGAGTTAAAGCCCTGGCTTTTGATTCTGCCCCTGTCACTTATCAGACACAGTGACATACACTAAAACAATGGAACATCACAATAACCTATTAGATAACTTACATATATTTTATCGTATATTTATCTTGCAGATGATGTAAACATGTTTGCAAGAAGTTAGTGCATATAGAATAGGATAGTGCCTGCATTTGTTTTGGGCTATGTATAGATACTTTATGACTGTGATCATCGGCATTTATAAGAACATAATAGAAAAATGGAGCTGCAGATGTTGCATGATGAAAGTGCAGAGGAGAGAGAATGTGCGTCACAGCCACACACATCTGTAGCTCTGGTTTTCTCAGTGTACATGAACACACACAGCCTCAGTCTCCAGCCTACCCGTAACATGGCTCATCTCTCACCACAGAATCCCCGGGCAGCATGTACGGTCTCCTTGCTAATCACTGCATTCACACCTCAGTTGACAAACAGATGGTCACAAGGTCACCATGCAAGCAGTTTATTACCCCTTATTTGATTTAATAAGAGTGCGAAGGTGGTGAGGCCGATAATTTTATAATTACCTTAATGTATCATTATTCATGAATCATTTTGTTGATTATTTGTTATTCTGTGTAATCTGTAAGTTAAACCTCATTGTACATATGTTTTTGCTTCTATGAGACAAAGTTTTCTCTGTTGTTCAGGATAGCTTATACTTCACTGTGTATCTCAAGCTAAACTTATATTATACTTTTTGAACATGTATTTCAATTTCTCCTTTGATAATATCTTTCTGGTTCCAATACAGTAAAAATCAATAATTAGTGCACACATCCAGTGTGGTAGTGTTCTTGCTATGAAGTTATAATAACACTTGATAGAGGCCTGTCCTTGTAAAGATCAAGACTGCATTGCTGGTGATATTTACAGAAATGTGACACATTTGAATATACTCTTCTCTTGGGGGAAAAAATAGACTCATAGCTGAGAGTATAACGAGTAACCAAGAGTATGCATAGCATATACAAGATCTTGGGTTCAGTTCTCAGCCCTATGGGGAGGGGGGACTTACTGAGTGCTGACATGAGTTTCTGGGGGCACTTTCAGAACAGATATTAATAATTGTAACAAAGCTATTATAGTGGAATCTAACAAGTGATGTATATGAGTTATACTAAAACCATCCAAGCTGGATAAGCCCAGATAATTATCTGTCACAATATTATTTACAGTAACAACATATTGAGAGCAAGAGCAAACTAAATGGGTTCTAGCATGATAATTTAAGTCACTGTTACAGCCATGCAAAGCAGTGGAAACAGAAGCCTTGTTGCTTAATTATGTTAATGCGGAAGTCACTCTAGGCGTTTAAAACAGATTCCAAAATAATGGGTCCAAAATGGTTACACTGACTTAAAGAAGTATATTAAAGGAGGAAGCTTGTGAATTATTTTTATCTTTTTTGGTGTTTTTGACTTCTTTAATTATTGTTCAGTGCTTCCTGTGTTTTTTTTCTTCACTGTGTTGTTTTGTGTTTGTTCTTTTTTTGCAGTGCTGGGAGCTGATCCAAGGCCCTCACATATTCTCAGTAATCATTAATTATACCACTAATATGCATACCCAGCCATATATATACCAAATATTTTTAAAGCTCATTCATTATTTTTTTTCTGGAAATCTTGTTCTGTTTGCCATTAAATCACTTCCTCAGAGAGTTAGGCAAAGCTGACCCTGTTTTGTAACACTGACGGCTTTACCTAACCAGCTACATTGTGTGTTCTATCAAGAATGCTACACATACCCAACTCATCACTGAAACCTGATATCTTACTGACGCCATAATTCCAAGTTTCACCCTGTCTGCTTGGGTAGTTCTCTTTCACTTCACAGGTTTGACTCACATCTCGATCTTTCTCCCCTTTCAGGTAAACAACTACAGTTTAGAAGAAGTGACCCATGAAGAGGCTGTAGCGATACTGAAGAACACATCCGACGTTGTTTATCTAAAAGTTGGCAAGCCCACCACCATTTACATGACTGATCCTTATGGCCCACCTGACATTACCCACTGTAAGTACTGTGCTCAGGGTCATCTTCTCACAGTCTGCCGGTTATACAGAATAGACCTCCCCAAAGCCGTTTTCACCCCCCGCTTACAATTTCACTCACGTCAAGCTTCTCGAAACACTTCGGGGAAAATATTCTATGTACCATTCCCATGTTGTCTTACAGAACCCCGGCTAGTGTTTTAAAGGTAGGACACCTTGATGGATTGGCAGGTCCTCCAATGGAAAGACAGAGTGATGTGGTTTTACTCTTGCTGACTACAAGAGCATTGGTACAATGCAGAAGATAATTTCTCGGTCCCAGGGAACATGAGTTCTCTCATGCCAGTGTATTCCCTTGTGCTAGTTCGTATCCACGTAGCAGCACAGTGAGAGACAGATGTTGGAAAATAAGCCATAGATAGCTCTACACTTCCTTCTAGGGGAGGGAATTGGGCACTGGGATGATAAAATCGCCATTTATTTTCAGTCGTCATCCTAACTTTCATCTTTAGCTGAACTTGTAAGGCTCTGTAGAATCAAGAAACTAATCAGTCTTTGTCCATAGCAGTGGCTGAGGCAGCACTCCGAGGGTAACAGCTAATGTGAGTCACTCTTCTGGGGACCACACCAAATCCACTGCTACTTAGGATTTGCTCCCACTCCTCTGTCTTCTCGAAATAAATTTAGAAAGACTTTACTTTTGTACAAACCCAGTGGGTGTTTCTGTTAGCCTAAGTTAGCCTGTTGAATTTGAAACTGTGAGTTCCATTGTGAATGTGTGCACTTGGGATGACTTCAGGACCAACTTTTAATTAGTACCATCACCTTAAGTGTTGAATCTTTCTAAGATTTAGATGTTTCTCTTGAGCAAAATTTAAGAGCTAAATAACCTTAGCTCTAAAGGCCCATTACCTTAGCTATTACTTTTTGAAATAATGGTTCTGAAATGTCTTGCCCTCTAACTGGTCTTTTTCCCCCCAAAGGAGGCTCTAAGCTGAGGTAAGCCTTACTTTAGGGTAGGAAAGAGTTTTGACTTTCAAAGACTTGAACTGAATAAATTAGAAAAGTAGAGTAGGTAGGTTTGAGGGTTTATCACTGAACACAAAAGTTTCTAATCGATTAGAGTAATTTAATATGTGCTACATAACTTGTAAAGTAAGATGTGTGGAACCCATCTTACTCTAGAGAACATACAGCCACAGCCTTCAGCAGCATAGCAAAAGGGTAAGCTAACTCACACATGTGACTAGCAACACAATATTTTGGAAATAAGAGGCAATATATACAGTCAGATAAATGAATAGAAATGTTGCTTTGCGACTCAGAGAAGGGATATTTCTGATCTTTGAAAGAACTGGGAGATTTCATATATAGCTGCCTTCAGAAGTACACGTTTGAGCTGGGGTAAGAGGCACAAATAGTAGATACTCCATTCAATAAAACAGTGGTGCAGATGCCAGAAACACTGGTTTTATCAGTTTGATCAAGAAGAGAATGTGTACTATGTCCCAAACAATAGTGACAGTGCAGAACATGAGAAAACAAGATGAAGTTGGATTTCAAGAGTTTATCTTGGCATACAAAACAGATCTGAGGAAAGAAGGGAAGGGAGAGAGCCCCATCAAGAGATGTCAATGAGAAGATAGGTTAGAGGAGAACAGAAGAAAAGTCCTAGACATTCCTGTGATGGAAGTCTAGTATATTTGCAGAGAAGGCTTAGTAGGAGAATGTATTCCTTGGGAGCCTTTTGCTTTTGATAACTGAATATTAATTATGTAAAATGAACACGAGCCCTACAATTAGAAGCTAGCATTTTCACTTCTACAGAAAATTAATCATCGTTCTGAAAATATGTATCAAGTCTCTCCTCCAATTCTTCTCATCACCTAATTGTGCTAACTTGGGCAACAAATATAACTGTTATTACATCTTTCCAAATCTAAAGGTCACCATGGGCTTTATATATGGGAAATGCAAACAGACAGCAACTCACCCCCCTTGGAGAACAGGAAAAAAATCTGGCATGTAGCGAAGCCTTTGTATTTGCAACACATCCTCTGAAGTATAACACACTGAATCACCCAAATCAAAGGTTTGATTCCATTTCTTTCTCTCTCCCCAACTCAGCTTATTCTCCACCGATGGATAATCATCTCCTGTCTGGTAACAATGGCACGTTAGAATACAAAACTTCCCTGCCGCCCATCTCTCCAGGAAGGTACTCACCAATTCCAAAGCACATGCTGGTTGAAGACGACTACACCAGGTCAGAGACACTTCTCACTTAAGTGGGTCGATTATTGTTTTTAGAAAGAAGTAACATTTGTGTACTAGGGCAACTGTTACTTAGTGGCTAGACTAAAGCTTCTAAGTGTTCTTCAGACTCAATGTAGCTTTACTTTCTGTGAGAATCTTCACATAATTGTGTCTGTGTAATGGGATTTCCTGCTAGATACCCACAGATTCTTTGGGAGAAACAGTATTATGTGTGTTTCCATAATAAAGTGATTGACCCAGATTTTTTACTTTTGGTCCCGTGAGTTTTGTGGCCATTCCGTAGAGCGGCTTTCATTATTTGATGAAAGATAGTCACACCAGGTTCAGAAAGAGGGACTAGCTGTCTCTACTGCCCATCTGATTGTGTGAGATCAGAACTGAAACTCTGCTCTTCTGACTCTATTTTTCATGTTCTTACTACCCATGGCAACCCACATGCAACAGAATTTGGGAGTTCCCATGCCCGCCCTCTAATGGAAAAGCAATGGGTAAGAAGAAAGGAGATGAATTTGCTTTTAAGGAGTTCAAAACTAATACATCATATTAACTCCAAGAGGGAGAAGGGCAGGAATCTCAGAATATGTCAATACATTTCTTATACCACAAGTGACAGCATATGGGCACAGGACTCTAGAAAATCAGCTCTGACAATTCACAGAGAAAATTTTAATTCATTTACATTTCCAACAATAAAGAACCCAACAAATACTGAGTGATAAATAAATAAGTAAATTGATGGGTGAAAAAAAAGGTTCATTTTTTGCTTCATATTTTTAAACATGTTGTTCCAAAACTAGTATATGATTAATATACTTGGCAAAGAGGCGCAACGATGGTTATGAAACAAAAATCTCCCAAAGCAAGTTAGTTCTCTTTAAGAATACAGCCCTTGATGAATGGACCACTCTCCAATGGAAGGCCACACAGCCAACAATATATGGGAAGCATAAATTAGCCTTGGTGGGTATAAAAATGAAAAATAATGTATTTTTGGAAAGAAGTCACAAAGTGGATCTGGGAGGAAGTAGGGGAGGGTGAATATGATCAAATCACACTAAATGGAATACTCAATTAAAATTAAGATCTCTCTCAAATTCCTTTCAGAGTGACATACTTTGAGCTAACCAGTATAACAACCTGTAATGAAAATTTCAAACATATACAAATGTATACTTAGATATAACTGGGGGTTAACAATGACTTTTCAAACTAGGTTCATGGTTTATACACTTCTCTGCAATTTGGTTTTTCCTTGATTTTCTAAAACAAAATTTGGCTGTGGTGACACACACTTTTAATTCCAGCACTTAGGAAGCCAATGTAGGCAGATCTCTCTGAGTTGAGGTTAGCCTGGTCTACATAGTGAGCTGCAGGACAGCCAAGGCTACACACAGAAACCCTGTCTCAAAAAAAAAATAGAAAGTGAGATTAAATACAGATATATATATATTTCCACATATATTTGTATACATAACAAATAGAGATGAATTATTTTGGTTTTATATCTTATCTGTCTAATTGAAGTCATTTTTCAGTTTTTACAAAGTAAAGGAGATTTCATGCTGCCAATGTGCTTATTCCTTGGTTTTTCTGTCCCTTGGCATATATTTTTAAATGATTAAGTATTTCCTATTTATTTTGCAATATCAGGTTTGCTGACATAGCTTGTTATATCTTTAGCCAGGGAACAAAACATTTGGAAGCTGAAAACGTACATCTGTGCAAATTTCTTCCGGGGCCGAGATGTCTGAGCTCCGTGTTCGTAATTAAAATGAAAACTATGGCAAAGATAATCCTCGGGGCTCTGTGAAGTATTTTGTAAATACAGACACCTTTAAGCACCGAAGAATGATCTGTTTGCTCTCAGCCTGCCTCTAATATTGAAGCTGATTTTAATTTGAAATGTCATTTTATCTTACTAGGACCCATAATAAATTAACATTTGTTAAAGTCTCTTTAGAATCCTGGCCACTTGCTAGGTGTTTAACACATTCTGCTCATTTAATCCTTCTGAAAACAGAGGGACTGAGTGCTATCACTATTTAGGGATGGAGAAATTAAACTTCGCTCAAAGAGTTTATGGTTGCATAGCTTTTGAATAGGAAAACTTTGTTCGCTGGCAGTTTTAGAATCATAACTAAAATACATTTAGATTTCCTCTTTAGTACCAAAGTGAACATCAGCTTAAACCAACTCTTCTCATCAGAGAAACACATGGCTGGAAAGGGTCTGTGAGTTCTTTTGAGCTATAAAGCCAGGCAGTGCAGGCGAGACCAGGCTCTATCTCTGGCTAACTATGGCCTTGGGTTAATCTCTTAACATCTGCACACTTCCAGTTCCTCCCCTCTGTCAGGGAAGGGCCCTTGAATCTTTCTCAATGGATTGTAGTGATTAAATAAAAATGAGCTCAAGCAACCTAGAACCATGTGCAGTATGAATAAGTAATTGTTAGGTGTTGTCTATATACAGAGCCTATACTTACAGTAATTCATAACCAACTTTAGAGTCATATAGAATGTTCTTGCTGGCAGATGGTCTCTCTATAACATAGTCCTTTTACATATGTATCTCATTTTCTTATTTCTTGTCTCGACTCCTGTTCTGTTCCCATGCAAGATATTCTTGCTAATAACCACAGAAAATCTTAGGAATGGCTGGTGCCTAGCAAAATCTCCACTAAAATTCTATCAACTCATACCCACACTTCTTCCTGCCACTCTGCCAACACCGGTGTGCCCTATCTCATGTTCCCTGGATATTAGCTTTCTATGGGCCAGAAATACTTGCTCAGAGACATATTCAGTATTTTATTCATTATATTAATCCAATATTTTCTACTAGAGTATGGGCACTAAGCATCCAAAAATTAATAAATTGAAGCAAAAAAAAGTACATAAAACAAGGCCTATTCCCTCTGCACTGGTTGGTTTTTCCATAATGGTAACTTTATTGTTTCATAGCCTTGAGGTTATATATTCTGGTATTAAATTTTCCTTCTTTTGTAAAATAATTATAATTAATAGCAGTTATTATGCCCTTACCTAGAATAAGGTGTTGCCAATTCTGTGTTAGCCCATATTCTTTTTAAATGCTGAAGATCTTTCAAATCAAATTTTTAAGGTTTATTTCATTTTTGCTTATATATGTGTGTGTGACATGTGTGTATGCCTTTTGAGAGGCTTCGGAGGGTATAGAATCCCCTGGAACTGGAGCTATAGAAGGTAGTAAAGTCACATGCGTCAGATGCTAGAAACTGAACTCAGCTGCAAGAGCTCTTAACTGCTTAAGCTGTCTCTCCAGCCATGGACTGAATTCCAGAGATAAGGAAAATTCAGTCACAAGTGTTATGGAGTATTATCAAAGGTCCCTAATACCATAGGAGGCATTTAATAAACATTTGTAAATGTTTTTGAGGTTTATATAGACATCATAGGCACAGCCATAGCACCAAACGAAGTTTTAACAAAGAGGTGACCTTGATTCTGAACTTGAGGGTTTGTAGGTATTCACCAGGATGTTGAATTTTTATGAACTTGTGTGTGTGTGTGTGTGTGTGTGTGTGTGTGTGTGTGTGTGTGTGCATAGTCTGTGACCATATGAGAATGTAAAACCCACAAATACTCCATACTCCTGGAAACAAGCATGAAAAATCTCTCCAAAGTGTACTTAGGAGAAGTCCCACAGCTGAAGTGATTGTTTGCTCCCAGTGTGCCAAGTACTGGCTCTCTTTACACCTGTGGTTCCTCCATAATTAAAAATTGTCATCATTGGGGGCTAGAGAGATGGCTCAGTGGTTAAGAGCATTGCCTGCTCTTCCAAAGGTCCTGAGTTCAATTCCCAGCAACCACATGGTGGCTCACAACCATCTGTAAGGAGGTCTGGCGCCCTCTTCTGGCCTTCAGGCATACAGACAGACTATTGTATACGTAATAAATATATAAATATTAAAAAAAATTGTCATCATTTATGCCAAAAAGGTCAGAAATGGAATTCGTAGTAGAGAGATAGCTTGTAAAGATTTAAAGAAGAATATAAAGTAAGTGTGTGTGTGTGTGTGTGTGTGTGTGTGTGTGTGTGTGATTTCTGGGTGATAGTCTAAATGTTTATAAATTTAAAAAAAACTTTTAAAAAGTTAATAAAATGCCTCATGTCATACAGCAAGAATCAAAGTAATAATTCTAATCAACCTGTCTTTAAAGGTCTCTTCCCCCATCTGCACCTGTCATCTCACAGAGATGATTTTACAGCTTGTGGTCTTGGTCCAGTCACTCAATACCACATGACCATTCAAGTCACTTAATCTCTGTAAGTCCTGAATTCCTTCACTGTAGATTTGGAGTAAAGGATCTTTATTCCTTTAAGAAAGTATAAGGTTTTAGTATAATAATAAATTATTAATACTATATTCATTTCAGAAGACTATATGGGTTTGATACTATCTTTGAGTTATATGTTTAAGGACTTCATTATATTTGTCTAAAGTAACGAATTCAGCAATGATGGGAGCTTAGCAAGCAGGAAAGCATTTCTATAGATGTAGAATTCTTCCACAACCTCTAAAATCACATCAAGCTAGAAATATCTTATTATAAATGCCTCATATATTTCTCAGTCTGTTGTAAGGAGTATTACTCTATTTCTCTGGTTTATACTCCCTCTGTTATGGATAGATAGTAAAGATTTTTAAGCAATTTTGACTAAACAATGCTACCATGACTTAGTTTATCTCTTTCTCATTACATTTGTAAATATTTTTCCAAATTATAGAAAGGGTACCTAAATAAAACAGTCTTGGATGAAAATGCCTCCATAGAGACCCTACTGAGACACAGTAGAGTAGTGTTGTAAGGGGATACTTGTTTGTTCCAGGCTGCCCAAAACCAAAATAATCACACAGAAACTGTATTAATAATAACATGCTTGGCCTATTCCGTTTATTCATATTTCTAGCTCACTTTTATCTCTTAAATTAACCCATTTTTATTATTT